CCAATGGCGGGTCCGGTGCGGCGGGTGAGCCCAAGGCGGGGGCAGGCGCCGGTTGGTACCTGGGTGGGGGAGGATCCCGGTTAATCCGTTAAACGCTCGGGCTGTGTCTGCACTGGCGCCACCTTGCGCCAAACCGGCCGCTTTTGCGCCAAAACTTGCCGCCCGTCTACACTGGCCGCGGGTTCTTGCGCAATTAAACTGACGTTCTAATGTATGAAATCAGGGCTTCTTGCACCACAACTCCGATGCTCCCGCTCAGGGATAATCCCTCTCGCGCAACTGTTCTTGTACCAGAGGCCAGTGCACACAGGCAACATGAATTTCTTGCGCAAGAAAGCCCTACGGTTAAAATGGCCATGGGAGCTTTCTTGCGCAAGAGAGTGTCTACCCTGGCAAGGATGCTCTTGTGCAAAAGCACATCTCTTGCAGAAAGGTACATGCCAGTGTAGACGCTCTCTTCTGGAAGAGTTTTTGCGCAAGATCATGCCAGTGTAGACGTAGCCTACGTTTAACCGGTTAACTGATTAAGCATGGAATCCCAGCGGAGGATCACTCCTGTCTGCGCGGGATGGGATGGGAGCAGGCTGCTAGCTCCTGACCCCTGCATGGGCTGTTCCTCAGTGCCAATTAACCAGTTACCTGTTCACATCCCTAGTATGTGTGGGAGGGGACCTGTGTTACAAATCTGTACCGGGCCTATTAAAAATTATGCTTGGTCTGATGCAGTTTAAACCTGATTTTTTAAAAAAACAATTTGTATGGAAAACTTGAAGCCACATGACAAGTTTGAATGAAATGGCTGGGCTTGTACAAAGGAAGAGTTTTGTATCTGGCCCAATTCATATTTGCAGGTTCTCAAGATGTCGGGCCCGAGAAAATGCCCTGATTGTGGCTCCTCTGACATCGTGGACGATGCGCATTATGCTCAGAACCAACTGGTGTGCGCTGACTGCGGGTTTGTTCTCACCGAGGGGCTCTTGACAACCACTTTCCAAGATGAAGAGCATTTACAAGGTCAAATGAAAATTCATTTTAGTTTATAGAAGCATGTCAGAATTTGCAGGATTTATGTTGTCGTGAGGATGTGGAGATAGAGATTTTAAAAAACTCCAAACCTACAGCTCTGAGTAATGGGTATTATTTTAATCAAAAGTCTTTTTTGCCCTAAAAACGGTGTGCAGAAAAAAGAGTAGGAGAGAAACTACTGCTTTAAACTTTACAAGGCAACAAGAACAGCAGTCCTGGACAGATGACTCTTAACCCATGATTCTTACCCCAAATCAGCAAGATTGCAAATTTGACTCCCTTTCCCCCAGCTGTATTACAGACAACTAGTCTTGGGGTGGGCAGTAATTTTTGATGGGGGGGCATTCCATGATTTAGGTAAATAGTCAAGGGCCATGCTTTTCTGTGGAGGGGTGTGGGATCTGGGATGGAGGTTGGGTGCAGAAGGAAACTCCGGATTGGAGGGTGGGGTCTGAGAGGGAGTTTAAGTGAAGGAGGAGGTTGTGAGTTGGGGTAGGGATTTGGCATGCAGAGCCCAGGAGGGGTGGGGGTGCAGGAGTAGATTTTGACTTGGGGGGAGGCGTGTAGGAGGATGGTGCAGGGTTTTGGAGGGAGTTGTGACCTGGGGGAGGAGGGATGCAGAGGGTTTGGGTGGTGATATGGGACACAGGATTGGGGATCAGCAGGGAATGGGGTGCCAAAGGTAGGCTCCCTGGACTGTGCTTACCTTAGGCAGCTCCCAGCCAGCAGCCCAACAGGGGCCTGAAGACAGGCTCCCTGCCTGCTGCAGCCCCAGGCTACTCAAAACAACTGGAGGCTTCCTCCATGTGACGCCCTGTGCTTCGTGCTCCTGGGCTAGGTCTGCACTAGCATGATTTTCCGGAAATGTTTTTAACGGAAAAGTTTTCCGTTAAAAGCATTTTTGGTAAAGTGCGTCTAGATTGGCAGGATGCTTTTCCGGAAAAGTACTTTTCCCGGAAAAGCGTCCGTGACCAATCTAGACACGCTTTTCCACAAAAAAGCCCCGATCGTCATTTTCGCGATTGGGGCTTTTTTGCGGAAAACAGTACTGTGCTGTCTACACTGGCCCTTTTCTGGAACAGTTTTCCGGAAAAAGACTTTTGCCCAAACGGGAGCAGCATAGTTTTTCCGGAAAAGCACTGATGATTTTACATTAGATCGTCAGTGCTTTTCCGGAAATTCAAGTGGCCAGTGTAGACTGCTGGTAAGTTTTTCCGGAAAAGTGGCTGATTTTCCGGAGTAACTTGCCAGTGTAGCCACAGCCCCTGTGTATGGTGGGGGGGACACTTTGTGCAGTGCCCCTTCCTCCAGGCCAATCATCACAGCTCTCATTGGCAGCGTAAAAAGTCCCCCCTCTCCTCTTCTCCCCGCCCCCCTCCATTGGGCATGCCTTAAGGGAGCCGCCAACCGTTTTGAGCAAGCTAGAGCCTGCCTTGGGGTCTCAGTGACCTGTGGGCCAGATCAAAAGGCTTGGTGAGCCGGATTCAGCCCACGAGCTGTATCTTGCCATCCCTGCACTAGTCCTGCTTAGGGGAGCTCCTGCAAGCTTCTCTTGCGTCTCTAGTCCTGGTTTTAACTTGTGCTTCCCCAGCCTACAGGGACATTGCTTTGGCTGTCTGCTGTAACATTCTGCTCCTGTTTGTGTGAAAATGCCAAAATATAAAATTGTGACTTTTTTGAAAATGGACTCGCTCCATCACCTTTCGAAGGAAAATAATCCTGACATAGCAGCCATGAAACCTGCCCTTGAGTCGTATGAGACACAAGCAGGTTAAAAAATCATTCATTAAAAAACAAACGTTCTTGCCTTTTGTTGCAAATAGAATCCTGGATACTATGGGTTTGTTTAGCTGAAAATGAAAATACACCGATCAGTTTCATTTTCTGACACTCATGCTGCAGAGAATACTGTGATGTTTGTATTACATCAACTGCAGATTTTTCTTACATAAGAACGGCCCGATGGGGTCAGACCAAAGGTGCATCCAGCCCAGTGTCCTGTCATCTGACAGTGGCCAGTGCCCGGTGCCCCAGAGGGAGTGAACAGAACAGGGAATGATCAAGTGATCCTTCCCTGTCACCCATCCCCAGCCTCTGGCAGAGGCTAAGGACACCATTCCTGTCCCTCATGACTAATAAGTATTGATGGGCCGATCTTCCGTGACTTTATCTAGATCTTTTTTGAACCCTGTTAAAGTCCCGATCCTCACAACATCCTCTGTTTAAAACAGGTTTACTAGGAATCTTTAAATATGTCCTGGAAGCATTTCTATTGGGCTGTAAAGATTTTGTACAAGATTATCGTTTACAAATGTACATTTTAAAGCAAAATTATTCTGACACAAATACCCATGTTGCTTAAAGGCAAGTGGCTATCATCAGTATCATCTTGCTCTCTTTTGTTTCATAAACTTTATTTGCAGATTTCATTGTTGACTCCCTTAAAGCAGGGTTGATTGTGAGGAGGATTGTGTTTATGCTATATAGATTAACTGGATCAGATATGTACTATGTGTAGCTCTCCTTTCCCCGAGGTGAGGAATCAATGATCCACATGAGTTGTGGCAGAAGATCTCGAAGAGCTACAGTGTAGCAGGCCTCAAGCTCATTTATGAAAGAATTTCTGTAGTCACTGCAGTAGATCTATTTATATTGTAAACTGGCAGCAGCGCCCTTTGCTGGCAAGTTACAGAGAATCAAAGACTCCAACCATGAAGACTGAACACAGTTCACCCTAGAGAGTCTGTCTTTTAGTTCAGGATTGAGGCAGAAGGCCTGGGGCAAGCTTGAGAGAGTCTCCACTGTTGTCATCTGTGGTGCCTATGCTGTGAGCATAAAGAGAATTACCAGCTTTGGAAATTGAAATCTGGTGCCTGCAACTGCCCCAATCCTAGCTCTCGCCCTCCTCTCTATGCTGGAAATGACTGCCTTGCCTGGTGCTTCTTGTTTTCCAGAAGTGACGTATTCACGGAGCACTGGGCAGAATGAGCAGCTGAGCCGCTGTACGCAACGAGGTGAGAGCTTTTTTTGACTGTTCCTTTCTTGCCGCACTGAGCCGCTGGCTGGCTCAGAAGAGACACGTCTCAGACTGCGCCATCTCCTCCTCTTCCTCTTCCTCTTCCTGAAAGCCACAGGGAGCCTCTGTCTTTTCACACGCAGCTAGTTCTGAGCCCTGGGGGGACCATTGGGAAAACTTCCCCTGCTACATGAAGAGAAATGGGCTAACGTTGCCAGGTGCAAAGTATCAGAATGAAGTTGCCCCACTGCCGTGCTGCTCCCGCCTGGCTTTGGCTGAGTGCTGTGGTACCATGGGGAGGCGCGTTCCAAGAAACGTTTTGTGCAAATGTTTAAAATCCTGTTTAATTGGCTAACCGGTTAAACCAGTTCACCGATTAACGAGGACACGGGTGGGGGCTGCTCCAGCCCCACTGCCTGCTAAGCTGGGCTGTAGCAGCCCTCATCTCCCACTGCAATCAAATGCTGCTAGCGCCCAACCAGACAGCCTCTGCCTGTGGGGTGTCCAGGCTCCCCATGGACAGAGGCTGCTCCGGACGACCAGCATGGCCTCTGGTTGGGCCATGAGCATGGCCGTAGGCAGGGAGCTGCAGCCCATCGGTCAACCGCCTCCCTACGAATGTTAAAACGTAGCCTGGTGCTTTCCCACAGGGATCAAGCGTGTCCAGGATCTCTGCAAAGTCCTGCGTCTCCCGGCGGTGTTTGAAGACACAGCCCTGTCCTATTTCCAGCGAGCAATTAAGCACCCCTCCTTCCACTTGGTCCGCTTGGAGAAGAAGGAGATTCTGGTGGGCTGCTGTGTCTTTGTGACCTGCCGGCAGCACAACTGGCCCCTGACCATGGGCACGATCTGCTCCCTGCTCTACGCAGACAAGGAGCTGTTTGCCAGCGTCTACCTAGCTGTCCTGAAAGAGCTGGAACTGGACGTGCCAGCCCTGAGTCTGATGGATCTGGTGAAAACGCACCTCAACAGGTAATGTGACCCCTGGGGGGTGTTTCTTTGGGTAAAATGGACAGTGTGTTTGGTAGGCTCCTGGTCATTCCGGACATCACCCCTCCCCTTGCAGCAGATGGACTTACTGATCTAACGGCTTCTTTCTCGCCAGTCCCCAGTGCCGCATGATAGCTAACGGTCTCTCTCTGCTCTCTCAGTTTCAAGCTGTTCCAGAGTTCAGCCAGCATCCCTGCCAGATTTGCTGAGGACAAGGACAAGATGGTTGCCCGGACAATCCAGATTGTGGAGCTGGCCAGCGAGACCTGGCTGGTGACCGGCCGGCATCCCATTCCCATCGTTCTTTCTCGCCAGTCCCCAGTGCCGCATGATAGCTAACGGTCTCTCTCTGCTCTCTCAGTTTCAAGCTGTTCCAGAGTTCAGCCAGCATCCCTGCCAGATTTGCTGAGGACAAGGACAAGATGGTTGCCCGGACAATCCAGATTGTGGAGCTGGCCAGCGAGACCTGGCTGGTGACCGGCCGGCATCCCATTCCCATCGTCCGGCCCACCTGAGGCTGAAGGAGCTGAACGACATCCTGCTGAGAATGGCCTCCCAGCTGGCCTGGCTGCGTGTGCTCCAGGTGGACAAAAAGACTG